AATTAGACTCTCTTCCAAACACAGAAAAAAACTCACCAATTAGGGTTAATTAGAAAAGGTCACTCTGAATTACTCATACTATTTAAGACCTGTAGTTTTACTTTAATTACATAGGATAAGTAATTCCACCCTTAAATAGTTCACTTAGATTCTTAGAAATAGCTTTAATGAAAAGAAAATCTCCACTTGTAAATAGCATATAATTGTTTATGAGTGAATAAGAGCTTCAAACATGTTGAGAAGTTTTTTTAAAAAACAGTGCTGTAGCCGAAAGCATTCTGCTTTCTTCTCTTGTACTCTGTTAATTTGCTTAATAAACTCTCTTGGTAGGCAGTTTGACAGTAAACTTCAAGCCCACTCCTTGGAATTTGCCCCTCAAGCCAGCCTCTCATGACATCTGAATAATGTGTGATAAGTATGCAATTTTTAATGTATGACTCAAGGCTCAAGATAGAAAAAAGTCAATATAGCTTTATAACATGAAGACAATTCAATTTTAAATTGTGTGCTTGTGGACTTTGTTTATAAACTCACATTGATTTTTTTTTAAGTAAGAAAAAAGACACAGAAACACTAGTTCCCCACACAGAATTACAGAAGCTCAATGCCCTCTCTCTTGCATTATGAAAATACATTAAGGTAAAACAGAATTTAAACAGGTATTAAATGTAACCTCAGCTAGCTCTCCAAAATGCTCAATTTAGGGTAACGCAGGGCCTTGGAATGTCAGCCTGGTCTACTAAGCTCTTAATCGAACAAGCATTTTTCACTTATTCAGAAAGCAAGCCACACAGCCTCTTAGGTTATACAAGGAGAAAATCCCCTATGAAAAGCCAGCTGAGTCAACTCAGCTAATGTCTCTCATTGCTCCCCGTGCAGTCCTGGGGCCTACAGGCATCCACACAGCATTCAGCCCCTAGAACACCTTCTCTGTTGACTTATTTGTGAGTCATCAAATTTTTAGCACAGACATCACGTTGCAATTCTGTTGTTGGGAGCCAGAGACATTCTGTAAGAAACGTCTGCATTTGCGGAGTTGATTCAGACCTGTGAGTGGCCATAGCAGCATAATGATATGCTGGCACACGTGTTTTGGTACACATTCTCCTTGGCTCTCACTATTGACTTTATGTAACCGCACGCAACACTGCCATTTAAAACTGCAACACTTCTCTTGCCGAGGTTCCTTAACAAACTGCTACTCTTAATCTAATTCCTAATAGAACCTTTTTTTCTGTGTTTTCCTTATCACCTTGTCACTGATGAATATAGAATAAAACAAGGGAATTCATGGGTCAGAATCTGGTACTCAGGAAAATTTGGGGGTCTATCAGAATCTGGCATACTCCCCCCTCCAAATGCTATGGAACAGGATGTTCAGTTATATTTCCACAAAGTTCCCTTGTTTTTGGAACATTTCTGTTGATGTATATAAAAGCACATAGACCGGTAGTTCTCAACAGGGAATGATATTTGCCCCCTGAGGGGGCATTTGGCAATTTCTGGGCATACTGTCAGTTGCCACAATCAGGGGCCTGCCTGCTACTGGCACCTGGTGAGTAGAGGCCATGGATGCTGCTATACATCCTCCAGGTAAAGGCCATCCCACCACAACAAAGAATTATCTGGCTTAATATGGTTAGAAACCCCAACATGTAAGACAGACATTCCAAGAAAAATCAGATCACATTCCACGTAAATATGGTAATGTTAAGATGGGTAGTGTTATTTCCAAAAAAAATGCCCCTTCAAAGAGCCATTTGAAATGATGCAGCCTTTCAAGGAGAAGAAACTAATGACTGTCAGGTTCCCAGCTGGGCTTGACACGATTCCAATGTTTACAGGGTCCCTGTGGATGCTGTATGTTTGTAAGATTGGAAATAATAGACTCCTTTGTAGAATAAATACAGCAATTTGTGTCTTAATGGGAGCTCTGACACACACTGCCTCATTTCAGCAGCACCATGCATTAACCTTTGAAACTTCAAATATGGAAGGCAACATTTTGATAAAGCTTTCTAAATTACAGAAAAAAAAATATTAACTGAACATTAAATAGACAACATCAGGAAAATGAGGAAAGAAAAAAATTAGCATGGTCATAATAAAGTCAGCATTACTGGAACTCAGATCTGAGGTGAAACAGCATTCTGTTTTGGGAAACTGATTTCATATTTCGCAGGCTGGAGATAAACTCTAACAGCTCCTTTGTTTTCTTCTTTAGACAGAAAAATAATTGCTGCTCTGTGACAAATGGTCTATTAGCTTTATGGCTCCATAGTCCCAATTTTCTTTGCTCTCAAGCTAGGTATTCTAGAGAGGAAAAATAATTAAATCAACTGTCTCCAGTTGGATGTCTCTCTGAGACGACAGATGAGACCCAGTCATAAACATCTACGACAAAACCAGACCCATCTGTGTTGTGTGCAACTAAAGTACTGCCCATAACAATGACTTAAAGGAAAAGCACTCCTTCTCACCTTTAAAGGTGAGTGAGGAAGTTACGTTTTGGAAGAAAAAGAAGAAAAACTATCAAAGTCTAAGTAAAAGCTTGATTAACACTAAGAGTGAACTTCACCATGGATGTATGATCATTTATATATTTTGTGCTGTTCCATAAAACCTCCATACTCTATGTAGTCATCTCTCGGTATCTGCAGAGGATTGGTTCCAGGACCCCCTGCAAATACAAAAATCTGCTCAAGTTTTTTATATAAAATTGAATATCATTTGCATGTAACCTATACATATCCTCTATCCTCCTATATACTTTAAATATTCTGTAGATTAGTCATAATATCTAATACAGTGTAAGTGCCAGGTAAATACTTGTTATCCTGTATCATTTTTTAATTTGTGTTATTATATGTTGGTGTTTTTAGTATTTTTGATCTGTGGATGATTGAATACCCAGATGCAAAATCCCTGGATATGGAAGAAGACTGTTTTCTCCCACTCTGCTCAGGCCAAAACCATCGGTAGTATCACTGACTATTATGTAACAGAAAGGACATGTACACAGAGATTTAATTCAGTTGCATAATTTGAAACTTTGATATGATGCTCTTTTAATAGAAACAACTTAAAAATTCCAGAGTTTCCATCTGTCTGATCTTAGTTTATCCTCATGGCATGCAGATGACGTACATAAGACAAACATCTTCGTCCTATTACACAGGTAAGGAAACTGAGTCTCAAGAAAGCTATCTCACTTGTCCAAGGCCACAAAAGCTAGTGGTGGTGCCAGAACAAGACTCTTGGCCCTACACCATGCTGAAGAAGTCACACAGAATTTTAACCTTGTAAAAGAGAAAAGCAGCAACCTCTGACATCCAATAGGCAGCCTGGTCCTCTTAGCAAAGCCATGCTGTTTTCTGCTGAACATGAACAATTTCATAGAGCATCAACATCAGACAAGGCCACTCTGTGACTGTGATGGGTCAAGACAAAACAAGACCATTCCCTAACTATGCCAAAACACAGACAAAATATGAATATTGTCCGAGCCACAAAAATGACCAAATATACCTCTCCCCTAACTAATATGAGTGACTGTTGTCCTCACTACAGATAAAATTTATTAAGATACCAATCATAGAATTCCTCTTCCTGACAGCACACTCATCCACAGCAAAGCCTCACTTCCTTAAATCCTCCTCAAATTACCGTACACAAACACAAATCCTCTAATAAGTTCTAACACTTTCTGATGTGCTCCACAGTTCCCCATGGTACGTGTGCTTTCTCACTGCATAAGTAATAAACTCAACTTGTTCAACTACCCACGTGTTCCTGGTGATCTTTGGGTGGAGGCCATTGACAAGCTTATAGTAAAAACCAAAGAAGCCATGATTCACACTCTGCTTTTTAAATCTGGTTACTAACAGCATTATCCTAAATCATAGGAAAGTAAGGACCCAACAATCCTGGGGCAGCCATGTGAAAACCAACCCACCCAGTATGCTAAAATTGAATTATAAATAGGAGAGCCAATTGATGAAATAAATCTACCTCTGTATTTAGAGACTTTCTGTATGTCAAAGGTTTCATTAGGCCAGTTACCTGATACTTCACAGCTTTATTTCTATCGTAAGCCTGGCAGTCAGACAGGGAGTCAAACAGGATTGAATGAGGTGCAGAAATTCTGATTGGATTCACTTCCCCCACGTCAATATCCTCATAAAACCATTATACCAATGCAAAGATACTGGTCATGTTAATTAAACATTCCAATTATTTTTATCAATGGGTAGAATTTTGAATGATGCAGTAATAATACCTACCAATTTCAAAAGGAATTGTTAAACTCCTAAGAAAATTGAATTACAGACTGTATCTATATTACAAAATAGCTAAAGTACTTCTGAAAACTTTAAAATCTAGCCCATCATCGAGAGATTTTGTGTGCATCACATCAAATTGTCCTGAATTTCTGATTGAATAAAGAAGCCATGTTGTCACCATGAAGCTTTCTTCTTTACAGATGGTTAAATAAGCAGTGTAAATAATAATAAATGTTGTCATGAAAACTGGTTTTAAAATAAGATTGAGATGTTTTTCAAGTAGGACACATCTGAATATCAGAAAAATCAGTCAGCTAGATGCTTCAATTTCTCCAAAAACAAAATCCAAATCATTTTGAGTCCAAAGGGAGTGTCCTATTCTCCTATTTTAACATCACACCATAATTCTATTTCTCTTTCTTAATTTCTGCACATTTCTGGAAACTAAACCTAGACCTACCATATCTCCCAGATGCTAGCTCCCTTTAGTACTCTACTAAAAATGGCCTCCAACTTGCAGAAATCTTCCCAAACACCCATTATTGAACATTTTCTCATAATCTAAGCCATATCACCTTTCACCTGTGACACACAGACTGTACTGAGAAAATCTCTCTGAGTCCCTGGTCTTCAAATGTGCTATTAAAATTCCAACAGTCTATATAAAATATAAACAATATGTTTGAGATTTGTTGGGGAAAAGTCACTTCTACTCACCACAGTCTTTCCTTCATTTTGGGCATCTCGGTAATCAGGATTAAGCTAGAAAAAGAAAGCAAAATTAGTTTTTCATTGCTATGAAAAGCACACTAACAAGACCAGTGATCTTCAATTCAGTCAATTATTCTATCCTCAACTAATTTTAATATAAGAAAAAGCAAAGAAAGCAACTATTAGTAAATATGACAATTTAAAATATTACCATCAAACCCTAGTTGCAGGTGACAAAAGCTAACATGCCAAGTTCATTGCCTTGGTTTATATCAGAAATGTTGACATCTTTAAAGAAGAAAGAATTGACAATCTCACCTCCTCTGGAAAAACATTCAATAGAGTTCACCATTTTACCCACCACAAAAACTGCCAATTACTAATAGCTCAGACACCAATTTTTTAAAAAAAAGAAAATTGATGATTTGAGATCATGCTTTACATGTTATGCACACAAGGAAAAGAACAGAGAGCAAAAAAGGAGCTATATATCAGATTTGTGAGCAAACACATGAGGACTATTGAAACTAACAAACACTTGTCTTTGGGCTTGGATAGTGGCATTTAGTGGCCAATCTAATGACAAAGATGAGTTATGGATATGTTTAGTACAGACCCGTGCACCATCCAGTTGGCTGAAATCCGTAACTCTGGACTCTCACTTGTCCTCACGGTCTCAAAGCAAATCTTAGTTGTTCTGAAATAGTTGATCACTCGTAAAGCAATACATTTATGAGGTATTTTTCTTGAAACGTCAAGTTGTCCAATTGAATTTAACCATTTTAATGTGAATCAACTGGTATATGCAATGCACAATCCCAGTAGTTAAAGTTACCATTTAAAATGTAAGGACAGAAGTTTTCTCACAATGTCATTTACCTAGCAGCTCTGAGAAGTGCTCCTCCTAATTATCACTAAACACCAATGAGGGTCCTGAAAAACAAAAAAAAAAAAAAGGCAGAAAAAAAAAAAAAAAAAAAAAAAAAAAAGGAAAGCAGAATGAAAGAAAAAAACTCCCAATCTCGTTAAGAACTAAGGCTGAAAAAACAACCAAAATTCCAAATCTTCAATGAATTGATGCTAATTATAAAGTAGATGGAACCAGGTGCAATAGCTCACACCTGTAATCCTAGCACTTTGGGAGGCCGAGGCAGGTGGATTACCTGAGCTCAGGAGTTTATGAACAGCCTGGAAACAAGATCAAACCCTGTCTCTACTAAAAAAATTACAAAAAACTACTCAGGAGGCCAAGGCAAGAGAATTTGCTTGAACCCGGGAGGCAGGGGTTTCAGCAAGTAGAGATCGCACCACTCACTCCAGCCTGGGCAACAGAGCAAGACTCCATCTCAAAACAAAAAAAGTAGATAGTTCTGGGGGAGAGGCAGGTAATGGCACAGTTTTTATCATGTGGCAAACTTCAACATATCTTTTAGTGGTCATGTAAACAAAGATAAGAAGATACTGACTCAGTTTGAACACTGATGTAGAAACCCAGAGAATTTACCAAACAAACTATCACGGACAAGCTGCTGTGAAATTATGCAGGAAACTGCTTCCCTAGTCTGCTACCTGTCTCTGTCTTTACATGACCAAAGAGATGCTCAGAAAACAAGTGGACAGCAAGTGGAGGGAAAAGATGATGGCCAAGCCCTTTCTGATGTGAAGAAAAAAGCATGGTGTGAAGAAAGAAAGAAAAGGAATGCTGTGTGCTGGAATGATACTTCATGATGATACAGAAATAGCAAAGGGGAAGGATACAGAAGCAACTCCATCGAGCCCATGTGCATAGTGTCCACAGAGTCGATGTCTGCTCAATCTGGGAACTGCAAACGCACCCATCAGCCAGTCCTGCGGCTGAAGATTTATAAAGCGGACTGAATTGTCACACTAGAGAATTTAAAAATGGAACACATGGATAATCCACTCAACTCTCTGGTTCTGCACAGAGCTCACTCATCTGAGGATAATAAGGAAAGAAGAATGGAAGGAAAAAAACAAATAGGACTGATGAAATACTAAGTTAGAACAAGGGAAATTCCTTCTCAGAGTCTTTCTCAATATATCCTATGTTATTATCCTATAGTATAATGCAAAATGAATTTTCAGGAAATGATTTGGCATTCTCAGGAAGGTACAAGTAAACATGACCTCTATGTAAAGGCAGTGAAATAACATAAACAGCTAAAATGCTAAAATATAAATAATATATTGCCAGGTGCAGTGGCTCATGCCTGTAATCCCGGCACTTTGGGAGGCCAAGATGGTGGATCACCTAAGGTTGTGAGTTTGAGACCATTCTGGCCAACATGGTAAAATGCCATCTCTACTAAAAATACAAAATTTAGCTGGGCATGGTGGCGTGCAGCTGTAATTCCAGCTACTTGGGAGGCTGAGGCATGAGTATCACATGAACCTGGGAGGCAGAGGTTGCAGTGAGCCAAGACTAAGCCGCTACACTCTACCCTGGATGACAAAGTGAGACTCTGTCTCAAAATAATTAAAATAATATATAAATAATATAAGAGAAGTTAAGGAAGATTTCAATATAAATGAAAACATAAATACAAAATTAAACTCCACATTAGCAGTCACAGAAAGCATAGTTAGAAAATCAGCAATGCAGAGGATGAGCAACTGAATGGGTATGCCTCCATACAGAATGAAAGTATCCAGAAATGAAAATCAGAAAAAAGAAAATGGTCACAAATAACCAGAGAAGGGACAACCAACTAATGGGAAATCAGAGCTCTCAAAAGGAAGAGAGAATAAGTGGAACGCAAGCAATAATCAAAGATAATAGAAGACAAATCTTTCCTCGGCTGAAGAAAGAATTGTATATGCAGAGGTTACAAAATTAACCAGAAATCAACCACAAAAGACTGACACATTCATTTGAAGATGATAAGGGGGAAAGGCAGAGAAAACCATGGTAGGGATAAAACAGAGCCAGAAATTAAGCTAAGATTTTAAAAGCAGGTCGTGTAAGAGAAGAATGATAAACTAAATGTGGTATATCCAAACGATGAAATACTACTTAGTAATGAACATGACAAGCTTCTCGTGCAAGTGACAACAAGAACGAATCTCAAAAGCACTAAGTGGAGGAAAGGAAGCACAAAAAATAATGTCCTGCATGATTCAATTTAAATGAAGTAAACAAATAAACAAAACCACACTATGGTGAAACAAATTAGAAAATAAGTAGGGGTGTGAGGAAGGGGAGTGGATGGAAAGCAGTACCCAGCCCAAGAGTCTCATGACAGCAGTCTTTAAGTTTTCAGGACTGACACACAAGGAGGGCAAGAAGATACAGGTCACCTGCTAGTGCTGAGCCAACCATTGAGGGAATTGAGGCTGGTCTTTGTCTACAGAGACCCAGACTTTCCCTCAGACTTTCTAGGTTCCCTTAAATTATGAGTAACAGAATTAGTTCCAAAAGGGGATTTAGTCCTGCTTTTAGAATCCAAGAGTGAAAGGTAGAGGGCAAAGATTGAGTTAACTGGCCTCCTTTCTACTGATTAAATAAACACATTTTCACTTGGTAGTAAAGTCAATTCTACCATGGTGTCCAGAAGAAGTTTAATCATCTATTTTAGTCAAGTTCCACCATAGCTTTTTTAAAAATTTATTTTCTTTCTGCTTGAAAAACTCCAACTTTTCTTTTAAATTTAAAAAAAAACTAAAATTTTTGTTAAATTATATCCAAATGATATGCAACATATTCGACCAAGGATATACCTTATGACCCAAGTTTTCACTCAATACACATTAGAATGGTTATTACAGACACTTTAAAGCAAATTCATGCCGGAAACCATGAAATATCCCTCACTAAAACATGCACAAGAACAGGAATTAACACACCTAAGTCAAACACAAAATAAATAATTTATGCCCTCTGAAATTTAGGTCATATATTCTACCCCAAAGACAATGTTACCTTCTAAAATCAATCTTTATGTATTTCCCCCACTAGGATTACCCATCTCTGTCTGGCTGTCTGGGGAAGTGGATTCCAGTCTCTGATCTATAAAGAAATACTAGCGTCTTTAGGAAAGGTGGCCTAATGCCCATGGAACTCAATGTCCTCAACTGCAAAATGAGAACAAGACTATGACTAAAGCATGACTCTATATCAATAAATTGTATGTATTCATATCTTTGGCAGCAAAACTAAAGATGGTACCAATCAGTTAGATTTTGCCTCATCTTTGTCTCTCAGGCTGCAATGTGATTTTTAAAATGATTAACATAGAGAGACTACCTCAGTAAAATCAATAAAGTATAAATAATAACAATAATGAGAGGAAGAAAAGGAAGAGGAGAAGGGAAAGGAGGAGAAGAAGCCATCCAAACAAATCCAGGGCCATAGCAATTTACCAACATTAACTATTAAAGGCCAAATTAATATATGCTTTAAATTATACTGCTGCTTTCTATCTCTAGATATAATAATAGCAGTAATTATTAAAGTAAGAGACTAAAGATGAATAGAAAAAAATTATTTTTTAAAGAAGGAAGAAAAAGACATGGTCATATAGAGGTCTTTTAGGACTTAAATTCTTTATGTTAAAAAATAAATTATAAATCTGGCATTGAAGAGCTAATATGCTATTCAATCATTTATTCAATAAATATTAATAGAGCATCTGTAATGGGCAAAGCGTTGTGGCATATGGTATTTTAGTAAAGACAAAGAGAATATGGTCCCTGGCCATAAGACATTATAATCTAGGAGGGAAAATAAGACATAACTACAGTCAGCTGAAATACAAAATAAAATGCGACAAGGGACATAAGACAGGAATGAATAATTTATAAATAATATAGGTCAGAGGAAGGAGGGATCTGTGATGGGCAAATTTATTCACAAATTATTCATGGAGAAGGTAGCATTTGAGATAAGCCTTGAAGGATGGGTAGAATTTTAACTGGCAGAGCAGGAACGAGGGAGTGAAGAAGGCAGCAAGGCTGGAGGAGCCACAGCCACAAAGATGAGAAAAATGAGACTTCTTTAGAGAAGACCCATCAGTGTCACTTATGGAACACTT